GCTTGATATTCTTGAGAATTTTTTAGTCACTGGAGGCTACAACTATAGGCGAATGGATGGTGCAACCCCTGCCAAGCAAAGAATGACTTTAATAGATGAATTTAATAATACAGATGAAATATTTATTTTCATTTTGACTACAAAAATTGGCGGTCTGGGAACCAATTTAACTGGTGCCAACAGAGTCATTATATTTGATCCTGACTGGAACCCATCTAATGATATGCAGGTATGTATGTTCACTGTTTGCATCCGGTGAGTCTTCATATTGAGCATGGAACATGAAATTAGTTAATGATACATTCATGCATGTCTGTACTTTTGAAATCCCAAACATTTTGCACATTGAGTATGAAGGAGAGAAGATACAATCCACAAATAAAAAACTTCATAATTATTGAGCTTGCAATATTTGTTTTCTTTGGTCATATTCTTATTGGAATAATCATTCCATATCTTAGGCCAGGGAGCGTGCTTGGCGTATTGGTCAGAAAAAAGACGTGATTGTTTACAGGTTGATTACCCGTGGAACTATTGAAGAGAAAGTGTATCACAGACAGATATACAAGCACTTTCTTACAAACAAAATCTTGAAGAATCCACAGCAGCGACGCTTTTTTAAATCTCGTGATTTGAAGGATCTCTTCACATTGAATGATGATGGGGAAAATGGATCTACAGAAACATCTAGTATCTTTAGTCAGTTGAGTGAGGATATTAACATTACTGGGCCTCAACACCCTGGTCAGGGAATAGCTACATCTACGAAAACAAAGTCAGATCAGGACACTGTCATGAAAAAAGATAACGAATCAGGAGGCAATGGTGCAGACACCACAGAAAAAGAGAGGGCATGTAACAGCAAACGTGAAGTAGATGAAGAAACTAATGTCTTGCGGGATCTTTTTGATGCGCATGGTATTCATGTAAGTACGACTGGCTGAGTTTTTATGACTTGAGATTTACAAGTTGCCAAATATATTTTGCACTGACCTTTTTGCCCATACACCCAGAATACCGGGTGTTGAAACGTGTATACCAATTCAAATTACTCTAGTGCCCTGAAAACTCAGGAATCAGGATGGAGAGTTCCTTTTCTTTTGAGAAGAAAGCATGACAAGAAAACCAGAACATGCACAGAAAATCTCAGGAAAGGATGAAGAATTCTTTTCGTGCTTGAGTTTATACTGTATAGTTATTTTCACATTAAAAACCACAGGAAAACTGCAAAATATCCAATGAAGTTTGCCTGAGAGAGCGATTATTGTGTTATGTAAAAAGTGATAACTAAAGTTTTTAGTAAGATAAGAGTTGAAATTGATTTTGAAACAGAATATACTCGTAATGTTTAAGACCCAGATAAGCATGATGTATCTACCACCTTCCACATTAACGTACCAAGCCTACCCCCTAACATCCAAAAATAGGTACCACATTCCTTTTTTTGTGTACAACATTCCAGGATGTGTTATCTTTCCAGACACAACTGGCAGCACATGTGTGGAGTTATATTTGTTTTTCTTTTTCCACGAGCCAATTTTTTTTCTCAACTCTGCATATGTTAAAAATGTTTTCTTTCTGCAAATAATTCTGGTTTACCAATTTTTTGAATTTCCAGAGTGCAGTGGATCATGATGCTATTATGAATGCGCATGATGAGGAGAAACTGAGGCTAGATGAGCAAGCCTCACAAGTTGCACAGAGAGCAGCAGAAGCATTGCGCCAGTCACGAATGCTTCGGAGGCAAGAGAGTGTGTCTGTCCCAACCTGGACAGGCAAATCCGGAACTGCAGGGGCGCCCTCATCCCTTAAAAAGAAATTTGGCTCTACTACGAACCCTCTATTGGTAAGTTCTAGTTCGAAGTCCTCAGGAGAATCAGCATCCAAAAACAGCAGGCAAAATGGAATTGCTGTGGGGGCATCTGCAGGTAAAGCAGTATCTTCAGCCGAGTTGCTGGCCAGGATAAGAGGAACCCAGGAAAGGGCAGTTAGTGATGGGCTAGAACATCAGTTTAATTTGGCTTCAAGCTCTGTCAGCAGGACGCCTCAAGGTGGTTCGGGAGGGATTCAGCCCGAAGTTCTGATCCGACAGATTTGTACATTTATTCAGCGGAGAGGCGGATCCACCAGTTCTGCTACCATCGTTGACCATTTCAGAAGTAGGGTATCGTTCAAAGATCTGGCATTGTTCAAGAGTCTTTTGAGGGAGATTGCAACGTTGGAGAAAAATGCCAACGGGTCTTTTTGGGTTCTTAAGAAAGAATATATGGAACAATAGCAATCGTCTGTAACACAAATCAAGTAATATACAACTTGGCCCTTTTGTCAACAGGAACCCAATATAATCCCAGCTTCGTTCGTTGCAGCCCTTACCTTTGTAAATACGGGCGGGCTGTTTTTTTGCTTGGTCCTTTTGTCGTGTGAATAAATTAGATGTTTAGATGTTTTGCACCTTATAATTATTACTCATCTCTATTGTTTTTGTAGTTCTTAAACACATTTATTACAGATCCAAGAACAAATTATGGAATTATTAGCTTTCCATGCCGCCAATTCCTGTTCATCAGTGGGTTTAGGAAACCCGGAAGGATTGAGAAAACTTGCTCTGCTACGTCCTTCTAGAGCATTAATAATTGTTTTCTCCCAAATATCATAATTATCACCTTTGAGAAGATGCTTCGTCAAGGAATTACCCGCACTTTCGGACGGGTGGATGTAGTACGGAGAGGTAGGGTCGTGGATGAGCCTGACCTTCTTTGTTCCTTCGCTTGCCATGGAAACGAAGATAGTACCGGCGTGAGACGGTGATTATGAGTCCGACGTGAGCCGGCGCTGCAGCGGTGGTGATCGACGTGAGCCGATCGAAGAGGGGCGACCGTGGTGTGGCGGCCGGCGAAGCAACGGTGGCGGCACCGTGCGTGAGAAAAAAAAACCAAGGGTTTGAGAAGTTCCCGGGAAATTGGCTTTGATACCATGTAGAATTTTTGGAAAAATTGAACTGTCTTTCATTCATTATTCANTAGGAAACCCGGAAGGATTGAGAAAACTTGCTCTGCTACGTCCTTCTAGAGCATTAATAATTGTTTTCTCCCAAATATCATAATTATCACCTTTGAGAAGATGCTTCGTCAAGGAATTACCCGCACTTTCGGACGGGTGGATGTAGTACGGAGAGGTAGGGTCGTGGATGAGCCTGACCTTCTTTGTTCCTTCGCTTGCCATGGAAACGAAGATAGTACCGGCGTGAGACGGTGATTATGAGTCCGACGTGAGCCGGCGCTGCAGCGGTGGTGATCGACGTGAGCCGATCGAAGAGGGGCGACCGTGGTGTGGCGGCCGGCGAAGCAACGGTGGCGGCACCGTGCGTGAGAAAAAAAAACCAAGGGTTTGAGAAGTTCCCGGGAAATTGGCTTTGATACCATGTAGAATTTTTGGAAAAATTGAACTGTCTTTCATTCATTATTCACAACGTATATATACATGTGCCAAGTCCTACTCCAAGTATGGAAAGGACTACTAACAAGGAAACTAATTACAATATGGAAAGGACTACTAACAAGGAAACTAATTACAAAGGAAACTAATTACATATATGGTAGTAAATAAATATATATGCTAACATTTGTAGTTCTTAAACACATTTATATTTCGGGCATTAACGGATTCGTGGAATTTTGTGATGAGCTATTCTTGATCCCAATGGTCAAGCCCGTAAACCCAGGTAATTTGTAAGATGGGAAAGAAAAGAACAATCCTTTATATATTATATTTGAGAGTTCACCTTCCAGAATGCTGACATTTGTCATGCTGACTGGACAAAAATATAACAGGTCAGCTGCCATGTCAGATTTAGTGTAAAATGCAATTTCATTTTATCTTGGAAAACAACATTCCAGAACTCTATTTCCATATCAAATGAACGGATGCCTAGGGGAAACGCCTTCGACCGAGACAATAGGGTTCGCATTCAATTATACGAGATTTCTGCTAATTTGCATCCTGGAGATTCCGATCAAATGAACGAAATTACAGTAATTCTCAATCAATTGGAGTTGATGCTGATTTCTGCTAATTGGATTTGGAGTTGAGCGAAATCTGCGAAATCTGCAATTTCCTTCGCAGATGATGTGCGAAATCTGGAAAGGAAAAAATCTCCTTGGCAACGGATGTAGTTTCCTTCTAGGATGAAATTGTGATGAGCGGAATTTTATCGGCGCCCCAAGAACGGTAAGTTTCCTTAATTTTTTCCCCAATTCTACTTATTCACGGATTTCCTTATTACGATTTAGTTCATATATATATCAGTTCTACGTTAGCCATTTCATCAAACTTGGTTATAAGGGCTGTTCATACCTAAAATCTTTGCATATTTGACATGTCTACCAAACCCATTCACCATTTGCTGAAAATCAATCCAACAAGTGAATGCTGGAGAGTGTTAGTTCGTGTGGTTCGATTGTATAAGATGCCAGATTACAATGATGACAAAGTCACTAATTCGATTGAGATGATATTCATGGACGAACATGTAAGAATCATCTTCTTATACGAATTTTGCTTACATTATAATAATTTGGCATACATTACTGCATACATCGCTGCATCCATTATACGAATTTGGCATACATTACTGCGTCCATGTTGACAAAACAAGCCCTAACTTGGCTCTGTTTTCAGCCCTTCAAAGGAAAAAAACAGAATTTTTAAGCAAATTGCATGAGTAGTATGGCATAGTATACTTCATTTTTGTTTATAAAATTAAATTGTGCTTTGTGGGAAGGATACTCATAATTTTAGTGCAGTATTGCTTTGTTCCAATTCATCTACCATTTATAAAAGATTTTGTTTTCATTCTACTTAAATGTTTCTTATAAATAAAAATAATGTCTGTTTCTTTGCCATCAATTTGTATAAAAAAAGAGAATCACACTTTTGTTGACGGTATTGATAAAGTGAATGATGATCACTGCAGATAGACTGAAAGTGAAATGTTCAGTGAGATCGTTAAATCAAACAAATTGTTTTCTCCCCTTGAAAACCTGAGAATTCGGAATTAGGTTAAAGTATTTGTAAAACAGACCCAAAATTTATTGTTAAACATTAGTTAAACAGACTTGATAGTTATGGTTAAACATTGGTTAAACAGAATAGTACATGTTTGGTTAAACAGACCCAACATATTGGTTAAACAGACCCTATAGAGTATGCTGTTCATAGTCAGTGCATATTCTGTCCCCCCACATATTCTGCTGCATATTTTCAGATTTATATTCTCTTATATTTTTTTTATGGCGTTTAGTTTAGATTCTTAAAGTCTGATGAAATTTCTCCAATCCCTGTGTATTGGACAGTTCTCCAGTGCTAAAAAAAATCAGACAAAACAACATTTTATATTTCCAAAAAAGTCTGTTGAGTTTATATTCTTGGTTATTATAGTGCCTATTCATGTTGAAGCTTCTCAAGTGCTTAAAAAAATCAGACAAAACAACTTTTTATATTGCCTAAAAACTTTTCAAAGTCTCTACAGTTTTGTTTTGGCAGTTTCAAATCACATTTGAAAATGCCAGATAGTGTTGATACCTGTTGAAGTTTCTTAACCCCTAAGTATTGCAGTCTCTCATGTTTTGGCCTGTTAGGTTATCATGTGATAACATTACGAGTTCAGACCAAAATGACTTCCTCGATATGAGCAAAACAAGGGTGATTGCTAACCTTAAGGAGTCTAATGAGGTATATTTAATATTTTTTTGCATTCAATCCATACTTTCGAGACTTTTAATTATTGGTTTGCTTTTTGGATTCAATATATTAACATATGCACTATTAATTGAGAAATAACATGAGACCTAATATATGAATTTCTCTAAAAAGGATGGATCGTATGTGGTGTACGGGACTATTGTTGCGGTAAACAATGAGAGCGATTGGTGGTATTTAGCATGTAAGTGTAACAGAGCTGGTAAACCTGATGGTGCAATGTACTACTGTGCGCACTGCTCAAATCGTGTTTTCAAGGTCACCCCGAGGTATAATTTTTTTTTAAATCAAAGATTTTCTTTTAGTTGTTACATATGTGCATGGAAGGAGATTACTTAAAAACTCTTTGAATTTTTTAAACTATTCTCTGCTTCAGATATCTTATCAAGCTGTCTGTTAAAGATGATTCTGGAACAACCACATTTGTTTTATTTGATCGTGAGGCGTCCAATATATTGAATATATCCTGTGCAGAATTGATGGAAAAAAGTGATTTGGTATGTACTCTTGCTTCAGAATGCTTGGTTTATTAATTTTTATTACATCATACACAGCTTTAGTTTTATTTTTTCACATACTAACAAAATGTTGCTTTTAAGTATGAAATTAGCATGTTCATACTATAGGCAGTTTACTGATAACACACATGAAATTATTATCTACAAATTTTGACCATAATGTATAAAGTACACACGGATCGTCCACGTGAAAAAAGGTTATATTTTTTAAAGTAAATGCTGCTGTAATTCCTGATAAAAATGGTGCTTAAATTTATGAAATAAATGTAAAACATTCATAATTTTTATGATAGTTAAAAACAAATGTATAATACTGCAATTTACTTTATTTTGAATACAATGTTTGTCTTATTTGTAAACTAATGTAACGGATAAATTTCTTGCAGGCTGGAAGTTTTGAAAATCCAAAAGAGTTTGATGATCTCTTGCTTGGGAAGACGTATATTTTCAAAGTTGAGGTAAGGGTCATGAACCGCGGCCAACATGAACACTCTTTTAGAGTGTCAAAAGTATGTCACGATGATAGCATCAAGAAAAAATACCTGGAATCTATTCATGCAAATAATTCAAAAGCTGCAGCGAATCGCGCTATACCAGTGTACTCCGTTGAGGGAGGAGTTTTTAAACAGAACGCTTGCTAAAACAATAGAGTCTTTGAAGGATTGCACCGAGGTTAGTTATACCATTTTAATACACACGAAGACATTTCCAAGGCATTGTATTTAATAATTTACCTATTTTGGCACTAGGATGGAGAGTATGCAGTCTACGGTACCATCAAAGGTGTGGATGGTGGAGCTGATTGGTTCATACCAACGTGTAGGTGTGGATCGGAAGTGATTCCACGGAATGGCTTTTACTACTGCAGCGACTGTAAAAAATGTGTTGTGAATGTGATTCCAAGGTAATATTACTCTTAAAATTCTACCAAGATTTTAGCTTTTATCCTGCCTACCAATTTCATAACCATTTGAAAAGCCTTCTTGATATAGAAGTACATTGATCACACTTTGTGTCGTTTTCTGTCATTCCTTAATACAAGATCTCAAAACATATAATAAGGTTGATGACACTTTTTATTCATAGTGTATGATCAACAAACATATAATAACATTTTTTATAGTCTGATTGATGATGTTTCTCCGGTACGTGAGAATTAAAAAAATGAATTTTACTTTTTATCCTGCATATTATGACGTGACTTTTCACACGGATTGCATTGTTACAAAGTATTTTAATTTTCCAATTACTAAATGAGTCAGTCTCAACGTTATTTGGTTCAGATACTATTTTTTCTCACACGTGGGTCAATTACTATTTATTTTTTCATACAATAAGATAAGCAAATAGAGAAATTGATGATAATGTAATCCTACAGTGTCTAGCTTCTTTGAGTTATATTTTGCAGAAAAAATACTATAATGCTGGATTTTTGTTTGTTGTTGGTATAACAATGTCACCTTGAAAACTAATCACACTAAGACGTTTTGAGTAAGACAACCAAAAACAGTATCTCCAGTGCTTATCTACATACTTTTGATATTCGAATTTTAACAAACTATAAAAACATATGATAACACCTAATGGTAAATATTAATATAATGAATATATGCAGGTATCGAATTAAGGCAAGAGTGAACGATGCATCAGATAGTGCAACTTTTGTGATATTTGAGAGCCTTGGATGTTTGTTGTTGCACAAGTCCTGCTCCGAGATGCTGAAATTAAGTGAGGTATGTATAAAAAAACTTATGTCATTAATGCAGTTTGTATAGAGACCTTAAGAGGTATTTAAAAGAAGTGAATTTCTTTGACACTTATTGACAAAATGAATGGCTGCCCCGAGTAATGTTCCTATTTGTGTATGAAGGGCGTGCCGGTAGGATGTGAACAACCAGATGTTTTCAAACAAATGCTACTTGAAAAGTCATTTATCTTCAAGGTTGAAGTCAAGACTGCAAATAATAATGATTTTGAACCTTTCTACAATGTGATTGACATATGCTTTAATGACCGGATCATTGCAAAATTTATGGAGATGCACTCTTCGTTTTTCTCTCCTCAGGTTTGGAATTAAAACAATAACTTCAAGCTCATTCTCTACCACTTTTTGAATGATGGAATATTTATGTTTGGTAATGTATTTATGTTTTCTTTATACCAGACGGATAAGATTATCGGGTATTCAACTGATGGGAAGACAAACCGTTGGCAATGCATCGTCTTGCGCAAAGGTATATATTGAAATCCAAGACATAGAATAAGATTAATATTTAAATATTTTTTATTCATTAAATTTCTGGTGCAACCTTAAAATCAGTTTCTCTCAACTTTAAGTTTAAAAATTCAATTCTGATACATTGAATTTCCAACTATTTATAGTGTATAACCCTTTGATTTTCTCCTTGCAGAATTTGATTGTGGACTTTGTTGAATCTCAAGATAGTCATCTGACACAACCTAGAGATGATATGATCAATCTTACTCCCATGAAAAGAATGCAAGAGGAATTGTATAACGTTGGAGATGAAGATGATTCCGTCAACAAGATGAGGAGTGTTAAGATTGAAAAAAATTAATCATTGTCGTTATTTCTTCATTTGAGTATTCTAAGTTAATTGTTGGATTTCATTACTATATACTTTAAGTTTTATTTTAATATTTGCATGAATAATGTTGTTGGTTTTGAACAATGAATTTTATTACACCTACAATAAATTATCTTTTCCTAAGTGTTGTCATATGTTATTGTGTCTAAATTTATTGTGAACTAATTGTTGTGTAATGCGTCTGATTCTTATAACATTCTAAAACAATATCAAAGAATTCAATTGTTTATGATGACTCAATTTAAATATTTTTTCATTTCATGAAACTTTGTGTCTTGAGATATAATCTACTAACTATTTACAAAATTGGGCATAATTTAAAGGTAATAAATTTATAATACTAACAAATAAATTAAATTTAGAAGTATTCAAAATATTCTAAGAGATATGTTTTCAAGATTATTTATTCTTAATTTCTAAACGATGCTTTTTTCCTATTCATTTATTCGTTTCACAATAACAAACTTCCTCCATTCCAATTTAAATTAATCATTTTGACTTTTGGGCATATTTAAAGAAAACAAAAAATAACGTTGATTTTTCGAAATTGCCGTTACTTTTTAATAGAAGTGATGATGAATGAGAATATAAGGTGAAAAAAGTGAGTTATTTAAAGTGTAATTTAGCTACTTTATTTTTAAAATTTTACAAAACAACTAACAGACAATTTATTTTGGGATAAGAAAAAATGACAAACAGGTAATTTAAAAAAGGACAATGGAAATAGTATTTAGGAGACAAATCAATAAAAAAGATATTTTTTTCATGAACACAAATCAAAATACAAACTGACCTTAACACGTATGTATGTATTAACACGTATGTATGTATTTTTTTCAAAGTCTCTTAGTATACGTATGTATGTATGAACATATAAAATGATACTCCGTACTTTTTTATTTCAATAAATAGTTTAAAAAACTAAAAATATTTTCACGTAAATGATATTTTCAAGATTTTCATAAAAGCAAAAAATTACTCCATAATCTTTCATGCTTTCCATATTTGTGGAGAATATTCATGTTTTACTTCTAATATCACGACTTACCTTATTAAAGAATACATCAAATCTACGGAGTATATATTTATGGCATAGTAACTCTTATTATTAATAGAATTCATATTTAAGAATAATCTTACCAATTATGAACAAAACTACTTATTTTAGACATGTAATGGGAACTTTATATCTAAATACACGATTCGTGGTTATTTTTCATCAAGCTATAAATTTCTTACTACTCGCCCGCTTCAATAGCTACAATGCAAAACCAATGTAAGGAAAGATTGATATTAGCAAAAGAGGCGAGAATGCGAAGAAAAGAAGTGCTTCAACAAAAAAAAACCATCGAATAAAGGTATTCCTTTAACTAATTATATTTCTTTATTTATTGTATATAATTCATATTTTCTATATAGGCTTTATTTTCTATAAATATGATTTTATAGAAATTTGATGAAAAAAATATTATCCTAGCGCATGTGTGTATAAGATTTTGGGAATAACTAAATAGAATAAAATAATTTTCTAAATTTAATTTCTCCATGCGATGTGTCACATTCAATTTGTTTCTAATCTTCATACTGAAATCCGATCCTTTGTTATGGATAGCAAATTTATTATTTCAGTGAATTAGGTTATATATTTAGTTTTAAATAAGAGATGACATTCTGGCGAAAAAAAATATTGTATGATTTACTTATTACAGAAATAATGTCCTATTGATAGTATATCAATAAATGATGGAGAATTCCATAGAATTAATGCATATTATAGAATTGTATACGTTAATTGTTTATTTTGTTTTCCATGTATTTTTCTTTACAAAAAAACATATATCTGTTTAAGGATACAATGTTAAAGATGAATGTAATTATTAGTGAGTAATAATATAGATTTATTTGGTACATGCATTTATAACAATTTATAATAATGTTGTGTATAACTAAGTGATGAATGCGCATTAATGCATTATATATAGTAAATTTAAGTACACACAACTATTATTGTAATAGCTATATATAACCATATTATAAACTTATTACTTAAACATAGTCGTTTTGTGTGACTCAAGGCTGACAACTTTTTCAAACCCTTTATTGGAAAATAATAGCTTTAAAATAGAAAGTTGAAATTTTAAAAAAGAAGCATATTTTTAATTACACTTGATGTTTTGATTTTAATATATACAAAAAATCAGTAGAATATTGTTAGATAAACACAACAATAAATCATCATTTATTTTATAAATAATAATAATATTATTATTATTATGGATATTTTTATTATTATTATTAATATTGTTGTTGTTGTTGTTGATAATATTATCCAACGTAATTTAGGAACCAAATTTTAATCAAGAGTTTTTAATTTTTTTATAGACAGAATTTTTTGGGGTTTTTTTTTGCATTCTACTCCCTCCGTCCACGAGTATTAGTCCAGTTTTTACTTTTTTAGAAAAAATTGATAAACTTTATCTCAGAGGTAGTAAAAAAATAAAATAAAAATTGATGAAAAAAAATAATATTATTAGATTTATTATATCAAGAATTTCCAAAATATTACTTTTTGTATGTAATATAAAACATATATTTTATTTAATTAGAGGTCAAATGTTAAAAAAATTGATTAAAAAAAAGTTAAAACTTAACAAATACTCAAGGACGAAGGTAGTAATACACTTAAATAGGCATTATGTACCAAATATTTTTTTTTCATTAATCTATCATATATAAAACTTAGGAATTATATCCATAAAACATTCGTAAAAGAAGCATTAAAAAGTATTTACTTTTTCATAAAGCAAATATTCGTAAAAGTAGTATTTTCTTTCTATGCTTGATTACATTCACAGATGGAGAAGCATCGTCGTCGGCCATAGGCTCGCATAATCGAAGCCGTTCAAGAAAGAATGTACTAAGTGATGTGACAAATGGTAATTTTTTTATTATAATTAAGATTTAATATTTCCAGTACATTTTCCCTAAAAAAGGATCTATACAGTGCTTCAATCAGAGAATAATTCTACACCCACTTCATCACGCTTTCAAGTGTTTAAGAGACAGAAGAGAATTGATCTATCTACAATCACACATTCTATTACTTTCGAAGAAGGTAATCATTCAAAAATTTTCTTTGTGCATTAGGTAACTATGTGCTATTAAAAATATATTTAAATATTAACTACCTCCATATGGGGATCATACCCTACATTTGTATTTTAAATACACAAAAATGTTGGTGTTGAAGGTTCATCTACTCAATATACATCAGCAGAACCGTTTTTAGATAATCTTGCATTTGGAGAAGCTGAAATTAAAGGTATGTTTACATAATATGTAATGCATTTAATTTTTGTAAAATGCTAAATCTTTATAAACAACTTTCTATATCATATTTTATTATTCATGTGTAGATATAATTGATTTTGGAGATCCCACATTTAAATGTGAATTCTGTGGAGCATTGTTATGGTATGGAGAAAGAGCTGAAAAAAGTAGAGAATCAGAAAAACCTGACTTTTCGATTTGTTGTATGAAAGGAAAAGTTGAACTGCCTCTGCTAAAGAAACCTCCAGATGTGCTCTATAATTTATTTAATGGGAGTGACATTAGGAGTTCCCATTTTTTGAACAATTTAAGAAAGTACAACAGTATGTTTTCATTCACGTATATGGATGGAAATATTGATACATCTCAGAACAACGGTCGAGCAGCTCCACAGTTTACTCTTAGTGGTCACAATCATCATCGCATAACATCATTATTGCCACAAGATGGTGGAAGGCCAAGATTTACTCAATTGTATATTTATGATACACAGAACGAGATATCAAATAGAATAGCTCATTTCAGGTATTTCAAATATTTTAGTATGTGCTGCCCTTTAATGCATGTACTCTTTATTTGTGCATGACAAAATATTTTCATGGAACATAATTATCATAATGACATAATTTTTTTCAATGCAGAAGGCGGAATAATTCTTCGGCAATTGATACAACTTTAGTCGAGGATTTGAAAAATATGATAGATGAACATAATATTTTGGCACAGAGTTTCAGAAGAGCTAGAGATTTCGTGCATAGTGAGCCCACATCTACTTTGTCTATGAGGCTTTTGAGAAGTAGATCTAGAGACTCGAGAAATTATAATATCCCCACAGCGGACGAAGTTGCAGCTCTGATAGTTGGAGATTTTGATTCAAAAAATGAAGAATGGGACATCATTGTTGTAAAAAGAAATGGATTCTTGCAACAAATCCATGAGACACACCCGGTGTTCATACCTCTTCAGTACCCTTTGTTGTTTCCTTTTGGGGAAGACGGATATCATGAAAATATCCGTATAAGAGAATCATTTTTCCTACAAAACAATGTAAAGCGTCCAAATATATCAGCGAGAGAATTTGTTGCATATCGTATACAAGAAAGGGAAAATGATGGTGGCATTTTGTTGCTTGCACGGAGATTGTACTTACAATTTTTGGTAGATGCTTACACGATCGTTGAGGCACAAAGAATCCAGTGGGTAAAGTTAAACCAAGATCAATTAAGGGGAGCAATTATGAGTGGCATAGAAGAAGCTGTGATTAGAGGTGATACCCAATCGGCATCTGTTGGCCAACGAATTATTCTACCATCTTCATTCACTGGGGGAATGAGATATATGTTTAACAACTGTCAAGATGCTATGGCCATTTGTAGAAGACTTGGTTATCCAGATTTGTTCATTACTATGACATGTAATCCCCAATGGCCAGAAATTGCAAGATATATGACAGTAAGAAAATGTAGAGCTGAAAACAGACCTGATATTGAATCTAGGATTTTTAAAATGAAATTGGATCATTTGGAAAAGGACCTAAAAAAAGAAAGAATATTTGGTGATGTGATTGCAGGTAATGCTATAGTTTGGTATCTTATTTTCATTTAAATAATAAAATTAATATACTTTAAGCATTATTATTTTATGCATCGTTATTTGACTGGAATAATTGTGTGCAGGTTTGTACACAGTTGAGTTTCAAAAGAGAGGTTTGCCTCATGCACATATCTTAATTTGGTTACACGAGAGAGATAAACTTCAATCACCAGAGTCGATTGATCGTGTGATATGTGCAGAGTTGCCTGATAAAGAAAAGTACCCAAGGTTGTATGAATTTGTAACTCGCTTGATGATGCATGGTCCCTGTGGAGTAGATGATCCTAGATCTCCATGTATGGATGATGGAAAATGCAAAAAATATTTCCCGAAAAAGTTTGTTGACAAGACATCATTTGATGAGAATGGGTATCCGGTATATAGAAGAAGAAACATGGGGATCACCACAACAAGAAAAGATGTCGAGTTGGATAATCGATTTGTTGTGCCATACAATCCACTGCTCTTGATGAGGTATCAAGCTCACATCAACATTGAATATTGCAACAAATCTAATTCAATCAAATATCTCTTTAAATATGTCAATAAGGGTCCGGATAGAGTAACTGTTGCAGTTACCCAATCTAAATCTGACGATGCTCATAATGAGGTGCGTGATGAGACAGAGAAATACTATGATTGTCGTTACGCCTCTGCATGTGAAGCATCTTGGAGAATCCTCTCTTTTGATATACATCACAGATGCCCAGCAGTATTGAGGTTAAATTTCCATCTCCCAGGACAGAAATTTGTCACTTTTAAGGAGCAGCAAAAGTTAAAAGATGTTGCCAGACAAAATCTTTACAAGCCTTCAATGTTTGAGGCTTGGATGATTGCAAATTCAAAGTACAAAGCAGGGGAAAATCTAACGTATGCAGAATTTCCAAGACATTTTGTGTTCAACAGCAAGGAGCGTGAATGGCATCCGAGGAAACAGAGACCATCAATAGGCCGCCTACAATATATGCCTGCAGGAACAGGAGAGTTATACTACTTGAGAATACTATTAACTGTCCAGCGGGGGTGTACAAGTTATGAAAGCTTGAAGACAGTTAACAATGTTCTGTATAACACATTCGAGGAGGCATGCAATGCATTGGGGTTACTTGCTGATGATAAAGAATTTATTGAAGGTATAAAAGAGGGTGCTGAGTTAGGTTCTGGGAAACAGCTTAGAAAATTGTTCGTCACGTTATTAGTGACAAATACCATGAGTCGCCCTCAAATTGTTTGGGAAAAATCATGGGAACGCCTGGTGGATGGAATTTTATTTGATCGACGGAGACTATTGCGAAATCAAGGTATTTCTCTTTCCATGAAATAGTTTTAACATATTAATCCTTACATAATGCATTGTCTTGAAACCTACAATTTTTATTCAATACTTTGTAGAATTAAATAAGTTCTATTATTTCTGATTCTTTTTTCAGAGCTTATCATTTCTCAAGAAGACCTAAAGAATTTATGTCTGATTGAGATTGAAAAGTTGCTTAATTCAAATGGACGGTCTTTGAGGGAGTTCAGTTGTATGCTGTTTCCAGATGACAGCCCACTCAATACATTTCAAAACAATTTGTTGGTTGAGGAGTTGAATTATGATAAAGAAAAGTTGTCATCTGATCTTACAGGATACTTATCTACGATGAATGAAGATCAGCGGAAGATATATGATGAAATAATGGAAGTTGTGACAGCTAGAAAAGGAGGATTTTTTTTGTGTATGGTTGCGGTGGGACTGGAAAAACATTTCTTTGGAAATCATTGTCTGCTTCTCTAAGATCAAGTGGTAAAGTTGTCTTGAATGTCGCATCCAGTGGGATTGCAGCATTGCTTTTGCCTGGGGGAAGGACAGCACACTCAAGATTTTCAATTCCTTTGGCGCTAACGGAGTGCTCAACGTGTGCCATCAAACAAGGAAGCCCAAAAGCAGAACTAATTCAACAAGCAAGTTTAATCATATGGGATGAGGCATGTATGATGAATAGATTTGCTTTTGAGGCCTTGGATCGCACGATGAGAGATCTAATGAAGTTCGCTAATCCAAACTCAATAAATGAACCATTTGGAGGGAAAACAGTTGTGCTCGGAGGTGATTTTAGACAAATTCTTCCTGTTTTGCCCAGAGCTTCAAGAGAGGAAATTGTAGGTGCAACCATTAATTCTTCAACTTTGTGGTCTTATTGTAGAGTTTTTAAGTTGACGAAGAATATGAGATTGCATTCATCAACATCCTCTTGCATAGAAAGAGACACACAAGATTTTTCAGATTGGATAATCAAAGTTGGAGATGGAAAGCTTGGACAAGTGATTGATGGAACTGCTGACGTTGAAATTCCTCAAGAATTTTTGATTCCAGATAACAGTTCTCCCCTCAAAAGTATAGTGGACTTTACTTATCCGAACTTATTGGAGAATATGAAAAGTTATTCTTTTTTTGAGGACAGGGCACTACTTGCACCCACGCTCGAAGTTGTAGAGATGGTAAATGAATTTGTCTTATCCCTCATTCCCGGAGATGAAATGGTGTACTTGAGTTCTGATTCGTCATGCCAAGCAGATTCAGATGTAGGTATTGATGGCGACTGGATAACAGTTGAGTTTTTGAATGATATCAAATGTTCGGGAATCCCAAACCACAAGATAGTCTTAAAAAAAGGGGTACCAATTATGTTACTGAGGAACATTGACCAAACATCTGGATTGTGTAATGGTACAAGATTAATTGTTGACGAGATGCGAAAGAATGTTATTGGTGCTATTGTTGTTTCGGGAAATCGAGTGGGTGAAAAAGTTTACATACCCCGAATGAATTTGGTACCGTCTGATCCAGGACTACCTCTGAAGCTCCAGAGAAGACAATTTCCAATAGTCTTATGTTTTGCTATGACTATTAACAAGAGTCAAGGTCAAACATTGTCATTTGTTGGATTATTTTTAACCAAGTCAGTGTTCACTCATGGTCAGCTTTATGTTGCTGTTTCGCGAGTGAAGACAAAGACAGGATTAAAAATATTAGTCTTAGATGACAATGGAAATTCTTGCAGTCATACAAAAAATGTTGTATACCCTGAAGTCTTTCAAAAAATTTGATATTAAAACAGAATTTGTTAGGTGTAGATTCAATTCCTTAAATATTATTCTTTTTACTTCGTCTTTCTTTTCTATGTTATTATAAATCATGTATGAAGTAAATTTCCTTTATTGCGGGAAAAAAAATATTACATTGAAAAAATTTAGAAGCGACAAGATATTCGTTCGACCCCGTGCATTGCACGGGTAGGAATACTAGTAAAATTAAAATTGAAGAGTGGAGATGCGTGAATCCGCTCAAGAAAGCCTTATTCTAAGTTATTCTTATTTGCTAATATCAACCCGCTAAGTAATACTAGTATGCTTTTATTACTGTTATAAGCTCATTCTCTCTAACAGTGTAACTCCACAACCTGATTATTCCACCTACAAGCGTAATAGGTTGCAGTGCAAATGTGTACTGGCTTCCTTAGTACGCTAGACAACTCCTTTTTTCTAGGCTTTAGCTCGAATCTGATCTTCTCCGCTGGACGTCCGCCTTAAGATCTAGGGTTACAGGCCTCTGAATTGCTCACCTAAATAGCCATTCCTCTTGCAATAGTGGTTCATTTTTTGTTGTTTCTTGGGGCTATGGAATCATCTTCGCCAGGCCTTCCAATATCCGAGCTCTTTATTGGTGGATCGTTGCTATATTGGGCTAAATTGAAGGAATTCAGCCTCGCAGTTACTGTTCACTCCAGATACTCCAGGTTTGAATTGACCTCTTCTTTGGTTCGTTTTGGTTGAATTTTTTGATGGATTGTGGTCGATTGGCTATGCTCTTTCCGAATCTGGTGTTGGATTTTCAATTCAATCAAGATTTCTTGAAAGTCAACACAGTTTTGGGGTTTTGTGAACTGTTCATTATCACGCAGACCCACTGATTTGTTCACTCACCTTGGGTACCTTACTTTGAATTCTTTCTTGAGACTTTTGTTTTGAAAAACAAGATGAATAGGAAAAAGACCCATTACCAAAACATGGTAGCTTGAATGCAATGGAGCTTGCCCCTAATTTAGATGACATGGCTACGGTTAAAGGACTTGCAAGCGTGCCCACTTTATTCTAATGTTTGAAGACCAAAACTGGATTGAATTTTTTAGTCAATGTATCACAAACAGTCCAACATTTCACCTGATTTCTTTCATTAAAGTAACACAAGTAAATTAGATATTTTAGTAGTAAATCTAGGTGTTGAATCTGTTCTGGGTCTTGACCATTAATGCAAATGCTCTGTAAGTTCTTTGACCTTTTAGTTTTATGTTTATATGTGTGAGGGATTCACGTAATGACGTTGCATTGTAGCCCATCTTTTTTGGAGAGCATAATTATATGGTTGTTAGGTCATAATTAGATGGTTGGGATAGATTATTAGTTACCTTGACAAATATTGATTTTGTCTTTCTCATTAACTTGTATAAATGAAGATTTACTTTTTTTTAATTATAAGTTCTGTGATTCATTTGCATTGAATTTTTAGCTGGGATTCTGAATTTGCTTTTAAAAAAACATGTTTTTTATCCCTTAGTTTGGAAACTTTATTTATCACTCTGTCTTAATTTTTTGGCAGCCATGCTGGAGTCACCATTTATCTTCTTATTACTATAAGTCTATAGTGAATTGGTGTATTTGAAGTAATTTTTATATTTTTGTCAACTTTAAAATCTATTTGAAAAGCAAGAGTGATCGTAGATTGATGGGCTTTATATATGGTTTGAATGCTAAATTGTTTAAATTGTAAGTTAAGGTTCTTGAAGATTTAGGACAGTGATTTTCATGTCCTCTTTGAGTGAAAATATGTCTATCTTAATTAATAAAAAATTCAAATTATCTGCTTTTGATTCAACTCAAATTCAATCACATGTTCTTTTTGGATGATTATGAGCAATCTTGGGTGACTTTCATTTACCATCTTCTTTTTAGAAAAACAACCAAATGTTCTTATCAATAGTCTCTTTATAGCCCAAAGATAGAACATAATGTATAACATAAATAATCCAAAAACATGAAAAAAGTATATTGTCAAAGCAATACATCGCAAACATAACAAAGTGATTGTACCTTAGTCTGTATTAAAACGAGCTTCACTACTCGAATTTAACTTCTTAACTTTTTTTCAAGTAGTCACAGATTGCCGAACTTTAATCCTAGTTTTCTACAACCATTTCCTTCATTCTCTTCCTCGGAATTTCTGAAACACCAAAATAAACAATACAATACTATGCAATAATTCATCTTAAAAACAAAAAAAATAGAACAATTAGCACATCAGTAATCAAAAAAAGAAGAAAAAAAGGATATTAACAGGTAAAAAAATCATCTCATCCAACTACTTATAAAAGTACCAATCATAAACTCATAAAAAATATCAATTGAATGCTAGTATACTTCACAAAAAGATTACCAAAAAAATAAGAAAAAGAAAAAATAGTACCACTTGACAATTGTAAAAAGAGAAAAAGGCTAAGTTAAGTTGGATGTGCTGGAAAGAAAGAGCAGACATAAAACGCAAAGATAAAACGCAGAGATCCTAAAATTACAAGCAGACATAAAACGCAGCACCCTATCCTTTGCATGTACTGGAGAGAAATAGCAGAGATGCAGACAAAGAAACATACCTTTTTGCCGGAGAAGAAGACTGAAGACGGCCGACGCTGGAGACGGTTCGTAGCTCCCAAAGGGTAATCGACACTAATTTTGGGTAATTTTAGGATATATACACTTAATTGGGTTAATTAATTGGAGTAATTGACAACTTTAGCCTTCAATACCCAAAATTTTAATCGTTTAATTTCCAAATTTCTAATCCTTGAAGTGCGTAAGCCTTATTGCGCGCACCGGGGCGTACGCCTTTCAGAGAATTGTGTAAAAAAACCTATAGCGTGAAAACGGGATTAGCTCCAGTGTGTAATTTCCGGAAAAAGTTACGAGGCGCGCCTTGAGGCGGGTTTGCGTTCCGCCTTTTCGAACATTGGTTTCGGGTGTGTGTAGTATCTTCATTTGTGGATTATGTTGCACCGAATTTGAGTTTTATGTTGTTAATTTTGGAATATCGAGTAGTGGGTGCTTAAAAGTTGTGGATTAGTAGTCAGATGTTTAATTTTCTTTTTTGGATTTTGGAGGGGGGGGGGGTTGAAATACAGGGAGAGTGGCTGGATAATAGCCCTCATCAGGATATTGGTTGGTCTTTTACATGATGCATTTGTAGCATTTTGTGTTGCTTGATTTCGGTATTTGTGTGGTGAAGTTGTGGGAAGGGAATGATTTGAAATTAAAATGTATGAATTTAATATTTTCAGAAAGAAATATTGGGTGGTTTTATGGAGTTTTGACTTGCTTTTGTGATATTTATTGTAATTTGCTTGTATAGAGAGTTTTGAAGCACCATTATTGTATTCTTGAGCACTTTTGATTTTTGATCGAAAGTGTGAGTAATATCAATTGATTAGAAGCATGATTCCATCGGTTAATTAGATTCATGGTGTGGGGTTAGATAAGCATTCACAATTTGAAATTGGGTAAGCAATATATGTGTTCTAAATTGCATCATTCATTCAGCATCTATGCTTGTTACTCTGGTGGTTGTTGAATGTTTTTATTTTGGGCAGTTTGTAATACAAAGATATGGGATTCTTGTTTTTAAGGGTAACATGTAAATTATTATTACCCAAATCAAATAAGTACAACAATGTTAGATGCTTAACCATCAACATGGTTACATGCATAAATTGACAAAAACAAACTCCTAGACCAAACATATTACACACAAATACATTGAAAGACAACACTTGTTGCTATAACAATTACAATGAGTTTAGAGACATAGGAGAGCCCTTCTTGTGGAACCATTCACTTTGGTCCATTGTTGGCATAGGGCTGTCCATATGGTGTCTTCGAAGCGCATGAATATTGAAGGCGCATCATCAATGACCGAAGTACAGCAACTTATCAGGAGTTCCAAATTATCAAAGAAATCCACTTATTGGTCCAGGCTATTGGCAGTAACACATTTTCAAGGTTAAGCAATTGACACCAGCATACTTGTTAACCAATGAAAAGGACATGGCCGCAAGCAGGTTCATGAGCAATCATCAACATCAGTCATCATCATCAGTGAGCAGGCAGGTGCATCATCTAAGGTGCAGCATCTGAATCATCATTTCAATTCCATCATTTGGAGGTATCACGAAGGATCATCCAGCATCAGGGAGGATCTCAAGCAGACTTGGTTCCTCAGTTCTCCCCTGAGTAACTCTCCCGTTTTACATGATGAGGAGGTTCAGCAACTTGGAGGTTATTCCATCAAGGCATCACCATAGGGTATATTCCAAAAGGTATGCTGATCCATCAAGGCATCACCATAGGGTATATTCCAAAGCAGGACCACCAAGAGGTAAATCAATGACTAATCCCCTTAGAGGTTATTAGTCAAAGTTTTACCCCCAACCCCTAACTAGGCCCTAGGAATACTCAGAGAATCCATCAAGGCTTTCTCTTCATATCCTAGTTCCAAACATGCCAACCACCAACCACCATTGAATCATCACTTTCCAAATTAGCCCAATTGGTTTACCAAGGAAAGAGACGTTTCCAGTCCCTAATATGGCCTAAGGAAAAACTTAGGAATCCATCAAGGCATTTCCAAGATTTACCTTGTTTCAACCCCCAAACCACCAAGATCAACCAGTGAAATAAAACATCCATTGGTAACCCCAAAGGTTTTACCATTGGATGTAAAATTTCTAGCCCCTTTTTGGGACCCAAGGATATTGTTGGGGCTTCATCCAAGGAGGAACACCCAAAACCATTCTTGTTTTCGAACTGCCAATCCACCAAAAAAGACAAAACCTATGCCCCCAATCTAAGGACTAGGAAGAGGTTAGGTTTAAAGATTTAAAATCAAACATTTGGAGTCCAATCAGGCACAACCAGAGTGAAAGCTCACCAAGAAAAATCAAAACTAGGATGACTTAGATCACATCCCCAGAGGAGATAGTAACTTAGCCAGAAAGCACAGGGGCCACACCTCAGGCCCTACCCACTATGTGGTTAGGTTAGGGTGTGCCAAACCCAAGGTGAACTTGATACTTTATGTTGATCCATCGAGTTTTTAAGATATTATAATTGGTATGCATTGCCTTTGTTTGTTTGATGCAATAGGTGGTTCTAAATAAGAATGGTAGAGCATTGTGCATGACAGAATTATTTTTGAGAAATTCATGGAAAAGAATATTCTAATTAATGGCATGGATTAGTATCTCAAATTTGCGTAAAATTCAAATAGAAGTTATGGGTGGTATTATGGATTTAGGACTTGATTTTGTTATATTTATTGTATTTTGATTGTACAGGGAGTTTAAGCACCATTATTGTATTTTTGAACACTTTGAATTGATTTTAATTGTAAGTTTGAGTAATATGAATTGATTAGAATCAGTTTTCCATCGGTTAATTAGATGCATGGTGTGGGGTTAGATAATCATTCACAATTTATAAACTGGATAAGCAATGTATGTGCTCTAAATTGCATGGTGTGGGGTTAGATAAGCATTCACAATTTGAAATTGGCTAAGCAATACATGTGTTGTAAATTGCATCATTCATTCAGCATGTATGCTTGTTACTCTGGTGGTTGTTGATTGTTTTTATTTTGGGCATTTTGTAATACAAAGATATGGGATTGTTGTTTTTAAGATATTATAATGGGTATGCATTGCCTTTGTTTGTTTGATGCAATATGTGGTTCTAAATAAGCATGGTAAAGCATTGTGCATGACAGATTTTTTTTTTTTGAGAAACTCATGGAAAAGAATTTTCTAATTAATGGCATGGATTAGTATCTCAAATTTGCATAAAATTCAAACAGAAGTTATGGGTGGTATAATGGATAAGCATTCACAAAAAGTGCATTTTACATCATACTAGTTAGTATCTCAAATTAGTTGTTCTGATTGAAATGAATTAAGAATAGTGACATGGTACATCATACTAGGCGGAGTGTGCATTTTATTTCATCATTTTATTTCAATCACAATTTATAAAATTTCCACTGATTGATTAGATGCATGGTGTGGGTTTAGATAAGCATTCACAATTTATAATTGGATAAGCAATGTATGTGCTCATCAGTAATTAAGCATGTATGTCTGTTACTCTGATGTTTGTGGAATGTTTTTATTTTTGGCAGATTGTAATACTATGATACGGGATTGATGTTTTTAAGATATTATTATGGGTATGGATTACATTTGTTTCTTTGATGCAATAGTTGGTTCTAAATAAGCAAGGTAGTGCATGGTCCATTAGAGAATAATTTATGTAAAATTCATGGAAAAAAATATTGTAATTGATAGCATGGATAAGTGTCTAAAATTTGCATAAAATTCAAAGATAAGTAATGGGTTGGTTTATTGATTTTTGACATGAATTTGAAATATATAATTTTATTTGCATGTGTAGGGACTTTTGAAGCACCATTATTGTATCTTTGAGTACTTTGTAGTGTTTGTTGAAGGAAAGTGTGTATTATATGAATTCATTAGAAGCAGGATTCCAGCGGTTAATTAGATGCATGGTGTTACTTAAGCATTCACAGTTTATATTTGGATAAGCAATGAATGTGTTCTAAAATTGCATCAGTCATTAGCATGTATGCTTGTTAGTTTGATGCTTGTTGAGTGTTTTTATAATTGTAAGACAATGATATGTGATTGCTATTTTTAAGATATTATTATGGGTATGCATTGCCTTTGTTGGTTTTATGCAATAGGTGGTTCTACATATGCAATACAGTGCATGGTCCATGACAGAATAATTTATGTGAAAGTCATGGAAAAGAATAATCTAATTGATAGCTTGGATAAGAATATCTAATTTGCATTAAATTCAACACAAGAGTGCATTACTAATGATCCGTATAGCATGAACACGGATCTCGCTAATCATGACTAATGCTTTATACTCCCTCCGTCCCCCATAGATCTTCTCAATAGCCCTTTTTTCTTTGTCCACAATAGATCTTCTCATTTCATTTTTTAACAATTAAAATACCATAACTACCCCCACTTACTTTATTTATTACAACTCACCCACCTCATTTAATACACTCCACCCATATTTCATTAAGGGTATTATGGTAAACTTTCACCTTTTTTCAATTCTCTTTAAAAATCACCAAAAGTCAAAATGAGAACATCTTAGAGGGACGGAGGGAGTAATGTATTTCTTACCTTCACAGAAGTGCAACACCTATTCCTGAAAAGATGTAAGAAGAAGGTTCTGAAATCACAAGATAGCACTCCACGAAGGAGAAGTGGAAGGTTGATGAACGTTATGTTCAGAAGGAAAACCAAGCTGCGTGGGGGGCCAGAGCAAATTGATCTCGTTGGTGACGAATCAATTCAAACTGGGGGGTGTGTTGAAGCTGAAGGGATTAGGGAAGACGGAAATAAAGAAATGACAGACATTCAACCAAATGCTCAGGTGGATGGTGAGAGATATGATTTTCATGATGAGAATATGCAAGATGAACAGGGTAAAATGGAATCTGGAGGTGAAAATAATGCATCCCCATCGGATATGGAATCTGATGGCGAGGGACAAAGCAGTGATGAGGAGGTTGCAGATGATGATGATAGAGAAGGCAGTGACGAGGACGAGGCAGATTATGATGGTGAAGAAGGGAGTGATGAGGATGGATAAGAGAATGGTGGTGCACACAGCGGTGATGAGGAGGAATCAAAAGATTACGAAGGGGACGATAATGAGAATGATGATGACATGACTGGTGAGCCGGATGAAGATAGTAGTGAACGAGGTGCATCAGTGAAAGGAAAGACACCAAGAGCAGTTGGTAAGAGTGTTGAACGTTCACGTGCAAGAACAAGTTAGTCTATGAAGCAGGGAGATGAGAGATTACAGGTTATTGGAAGAACAGAGATGGTGCGAATAAAAAGGGAGGGCTGGAAAGAAGTTGGTGGATATCAAGGCACCATATGGGTCATTGCAGACAAGGTCGACACCACATGTATTACTGAAAGCCATACAAGGGATGAATGGTGTTCAGCGTGCTGAAGTTGAAAGGATTGGGTTTGGATCAGTTTTAAGACTTGATATTTGGGAGTTGCCATCAAGGTTGGGTCTTTGCATTGTGAGTAACTATGATGCTAGGAGCAGCTGTTTAAAACTTCCGGACAATACAAAGATGCACATAACTGCTGTGCTGGAAAGAAGAAGTTGGTGGATATCAAGGCACCATATGGGTCATTGAAGACAAGGTCGACACCACATGTATTACTGAAAGCCATACAAGGGATGAATGGTGTTCAGGGTGCTGAAGTTGAAAGGATTGGGTTTGGATCATTTTTAAGACTTGATATTTGGGAGTTGCCATCAAGGTTGGGTCTTTGCGTTGTGAGTAACTATGATGCTAGGAGCAGCTGTTTAAAACTTCCGGACAATACGAAGATGCACATAACTGCTGAAGATGTTTGTACTGTCTTAGGGGCCGAGCGGATTCAAAATAACAAGCATAACAAGGATAAATCAGTGTTGAAAGAGTGGAGACTTAAGTTTGATACGACGGGTATTATGATCACTCCAAATGATGTTGTAAAGAAGATGCTGAGGTGCACATAGGGGGAGAGTGGTTTGTGAGACATTTTGTAACGCTAATTGTGTCGGTACTTGTGGATAGCACATCACACAGTTACGTAAATGCATTTGGGGTGGACCATTTGGGGGATGTTGGGAGAGTTCTTAGGTTGAATTGGTGTCAATATGTTCTTGACAAGCTCATAGAGAACAAGCTAAAGTGGGAGAAAAAGAGTAGTTTTCAGTGGTCCATTGCTCTTTCTAATGGTATGAAAATATTAATACAAATATCACGTAAGGAATTAAAGGTTGTACGAATAATTGGTATTGTAAAACGTCCACAAGATGCATTTAGCACACAGACTAAAAAGTTCCTACCAAGGATCCTGTATAGATCGACACAACCCGAGCTCTCCTTTCCTTGATCCTATCTCTCTCTTGTCACTCCAATAACTTCCCCCTAAACCAAATCGTCATGACTATGGGCGAATGAGTCGTGAGAAGCGCATTGAGCTAAACAGAGATGTGAATGAGAGAGAAACGAAAGCTGCAAAGGAGATGGATGATACTGAGCATGAGCACTTGATCGTTGAAGATTCAGAGGAGGTAAAGTTTGTATTTGTTAGTCACTAACAATAATGGCGATTTGTTATATGTAGTGAGGTGAATTTTAAACAATTAAGCGTTGTTGTCGTTTTACATTTTATCTAGGTGCTTGTAAGGAAAATTTCAGACAAAAGCAAGATCCTGACAAGCACAATTATTGATCTGCTAAACATTATTTAGGATGCACCAAAGTCGATGGCAAAGAATTTGATGTTTCGTGAGATGCGTAATGTGTGCCATAAAGTAATTGGCATAAATGTTGAAAACAAAGATAATCTTGAACAAGATGTTGAGAATAATGAAACAGACATGTTCGAGCATTCCGATTTCTGGAGCAGTCCAGAGCTTTAGGCAGCAGTTGATGAAGCGGCAAAGGCAGCTGAGGTGCAAAAGAAGTATGAAGAATTCATTAATGATGCAAGACCAAGCATCCACTACCACTACAAGAAAATAGGGATACAAGGACACTAATTAAGGACATATAATTTGATAAGTGTCATTAAAAGCCATTTAGGACACCTAATTTTTTTTTGACGGCAGACACCTTCTAATTAGTTAGAGAGTACTCCGTATTAACAATTTTTTACGGAGTAAATTTTATCGGGTCTGGACTCTCCATTCGAAATATCTCTCTAGGGTTCTTATATCCGCCGATTTCAATCGTCTTCTTCGCTTAATTCAGTGTTTTCTCTAGCCTTACACAAATCGTTCTTCTGCATTCCATCTCCCATGCACTTAAACCTCCATTCTAATATTAATTAATTTGTGTTTCACTCACCCTTTTTCTCTCAAACTTTGCAGACTGTAGGAGATTTCCGATCTATCCAACGGTTACATGGAGCTGAAGCGGGAATTAACCAAGACGACTCCAGGCTTAGCAGGTTCGACCTACGATGTCGGCCGATTGGAGTCACCGGCACTAGGGAAGTGATTGATTGCTTCAATCTCTAATTTCCCATTTAATTCCTCTTTTTTAATTATTTTCTACTCTTCCTTGTGCACAAATCAGATGCTAAATTAAAGCACAAGGTCGGATTGACATCAATTTCAATTACAGATGCGTGTGTAGAGCTCTATGGATCCAAAGTTATACCTATCAATCTAGGTCAAATCTCATATTCCTTTTTATTTGTTGACTTTGTTAATTGGATCGTGACTAGCTAGACTCTGGTATCTTATTTGAACTGATTTCCGTGTTCTTATAAGCATTGATATTAGCTTCATTCGATTGGCTTTAGTCTTGAGTTGTTTTTGAAAATTTGAATATGGTTTCTTCTTTCATGTATAACTTCAATATGTTGCATTGTGATTCTGTTCTGTGAAGCTTTAATGATTTGTGGGTGTTTGAGTTTCACAGGATTGTTTTTGTAGTATCATTGTTCCAAATAAAAATTATGTCCGTTCAGTTTTTTATTAGGGCTTAGGTTTTGAATTTGTAAATCATTTTTATTCTTCTTTTCACACATGTTTATATTTTAAAGAATGAAAATGTTGTAGATCTGATTTTATTAAGCCATAAAGTTTCATTTAAAGATATTATTGAATACAATATATCATACTATTTGTATTTACACGTCTTAGGTGTAATCTGATTTTTTAATTGTCTTATCTACATTTTAATGTGAAATCATTGTTATTCTTTCATTTGTTATCTATTTTATATTTCTTATTAACAAATTCAATCATTCTTTTTCTTGCATTGTTTCTTCTAATTAACAAAGTGATGGTAGGTTGTCTTTGCAGATCGAAACAATGTCACGAACTTACCTTCACCTTCAACTGGTCTTCGGTCTAGTTTAGTGAATGGCCATCATTTTGTTCTTTTATACGTGTCTATTGCTGGCTTAAGGTTTTATATATAGGCTGTAAGATACTTATGTTACTAAAATTGTTTGGTAAATACTTGGGCATTTGATAGTATAATTGTCAGTGTGTTGTGGTACTTGGCAGGAAAGTTAGCAAATGAATTTGGTCAAAATTTGAGAATCTTTCTGGTGTGCTTTTATACATAAAGTTGATAGCACATGAATTAATCCTGATTTTGGTTTTGCCTACTGTTTTCTGTTTCAGTTTTGGCATAGGTGCTTTGGCATTGGTTGCTGCCACTAGCTAATATGGGACTTTGGAGAGAATAGAGCTTGTCAATTGTCATTGGCATTTGGCCATTGTTTCTTGGTTCTGATTTCGGCAATTTGTACAAGATGCATGCTTAGGGGGTTGTTTCCTCGCCATTTGCAGATTGAAGTGGCTTATTCATAGTGAATTTTTTTTTTTGTAGTTAGGTTGTTGAACACTTTGGTTTTGATTTACATTTTTTATTTATCTTTGACTCAAATGTAAAATTGTAGACTTTAAGTGTAGTTTTTTTGGTGGGACTTCAGTTTTGTCCTGGCTTGTACTCTTTTCTTTTAATAAAGAATTTTGTTTCTCAAATATGATTTTGGTAATATCACAGTGCTAATATTATGATGACACATTTTAGGTGTCTTTATTTTATTTTAAGGACATTTTTAAGATAGTGCTTATGATACAGTATATAGCGTCCTAATATTAAATAGAGGACTCATATTGATAATATGAGGACACATTTTAGTTGTCATTTTATGGATTTAAGGACACTTTATGATGTTTTTAGGCTGTGTCCTTGTATAGAAGAGAGGACACTTTTTATACGTCCTTATATCAGACATACTATGACTCCCAGATAGAGGACACATTGGTTCAGTGTCCTTGTTTATAATAGATGACTTTTTTTTACATGTCTTTGTATCCCTTTTTTCTTGTAGTGTACCCGTGGAGAAATGTGATGGCCAGCCGCCAACGTCAACAGATCTCCACGCTCAACCAAAATTTTATACCCATTGAACACAATGTCATTCCTGCATAAGTTATACGTACCAAAATCAAGAATGATGACTTCAATTTCATGAAATTATGTATTCTTTAACCATATATAAAGCATAAACATGTCATCATCTTTATTCCTCACAACCCACTTCCAAATTTTCTTTTCAAATGTGTTAACATTTTCTCTTGGATCAACCACCTGTGTTAGGTATGGTGACTTCAACGTCAAAGCTGTTTTGGGCTTACTTCTAGCCCTTTTGTCCTGCACAACCTGTTCAATGCAAACTAATCAATTGGCCAAAATAAATTATGTACTTAATTTAAGCACCTATTCACATACCTCATAGTTTTTCCTTTTCATCCCAGGATCTTCACATCTTCCCGCTTCAACCGCCATCTCGATCTATTATAAAAAAACAAACAACATTTTCATCATGAATATGTGGAGTACATCTTTTTATATATGCAATATGTACAGAAAGTTTGTGTTACTTGAATGTTCAAATCTTGATCCTTCCGCGCTCCATCACATTCTGCACCAATCACATTTTCATTCTGCTCCATCTCTTTATTCTGCTCCACTTCCTCTCCCCTCATAGACCCCACACTGCCAAATTCCATGGCTGTGACATTCATGTTTGAGATGTTGTGAGGATCAGTAGGAGTTATGTTCGCTGGAGTCACCACTTCATTCACCTCATTCACTTCATTCACCTCATTGCTCTTTGGCATCTCATGTGTGCTCTCCATTTCTTCTTTAAGAATTTGTGTCATCCCCAGACTGAAAGAAGGCACATCATTAATGAATTCTTCATACTTCATTCACACCTTAGCTACCTTTGCCGTTTCATCAACTGCTTCCCAAAGCTCTGGACTGCTCCTAAAATCTGAATCCTTGGACATGTCTGTTTCATTATTCTCAACATCTTGTTCAATATTATCTTTGTTTTCAACATTTATGCCAATTACTTTATGCCACACATTACGCATCTTACGAAACATCAAATTCTTTGCCATCGACTTTGGTGCATGCTAAATCATGTTTAGCAGATCAATAATTGTGCTTGCCAGGATCTTGCTTTTGTCTGCAATTTTCCTTACAAGCACCTAGATAAAATGTAAAACGAGAACAGCGCTTAACTGTTTAAAATTTACCTAACTACATATAACAAATCACCATTATTGTTAGTGACTAACAAATACAAACTTTACCTTCTCTGAATCTTCAACGATCAAGTGCTCATGCTCAGTATCATCCATCTCCTCAGCAGCCTTCGTTTCTCTCTCATTCACATCTCTATTCAGCTCAATGTGCTTGTCACGACTCATTCACCCATCGTCATGACCTAAACCAAAACCCCCTCCAATAACCTCACTGTTCTCTCTCTTTCTTAGTTCCTTTCCACTCCAGCCCAACAAAGAAGGATGTCCTAGGTGTTGGAATGCATGAGTTCAACCATTTCTGTGTTGTTAAGTGTTGACTCACAGGTTTTGATAATTGACAAACACAATTTATTCAAGTCAAGATCAAAGTGCTACAACGACAAACACGAAGACTTGAAGTGTCATTCCTTGAAGTATTCAAGAAGGTGCACAGGATTTTATTGGAGTCCGAGACGCGTTCGGAGCGCCTAACGGAGGACTCAGAGGAGTAGAAGATTTCCGAAGACTTTTTATTTATTTGAGTCTTAGGAATTTTTGTAAGGGTGACAAAAATATCTTCTCTCCAAAATTATTTTTATGAGTGTTAAAATAAAAATTATATTTATTTTTGGAGTCAGTTGAAAAATCTTTTAACTGTTCAAAATAGTTTTTATTGAGTCAGTTACAAAAGGTGTGCCAAACATTTATCAAATATTTATTTTGATATTATAAAATATTTTTGGTAAGCAAAAATATTTTATTCAAATTTTTCTGTGTACATCGTTTGACACACAAAATAATTTTTGGACTCACTTTTACTCCCTTATTCAAATTCATTGAATAAGAGAGGAGGAGCGCTTCCCGGATTCCCGTTGTCTCAAACAACGAGTATTCAACCAATTCTTTATCTATCGCAACTGGCTTGGGCCCTTTGTGTTTGCGCATCATTTCAAAACTAATAGATTAATATTCTCACCTTAATCGATTTACCCAGTTTTGTTTTGATTAATCGATTAAACTCTTTTGATTAATCGATTAATTGAGTTTTACTTTGTGTTGAGCTACTTTGACTTAATCGATTATTTTCCTCTTGTTAATCGATTAACTTACTCAGAACACTCTAATCGATTAATTGCTTTGGCCTTAATCGATGATCATTTTTGCGCAGTCTGCATTAATCGTTGCTGATGATGCATTAATCGATTATTGGTGATGCATTAATCGATTATTATGCTGCATCTTTTCTGCACAGCTTCTTTTCTTGGACCAACGGATATATTTCTTCAACTCCTATTTAAACACTCTTCCTTGGTCATTTTTCTCAAGAACAAGCACTCCTAAACTCCCATATCTTGAGGTTATAATCCTCCATTCATTTCTTCCTCAAATTGATATATTTTGAGAGAAAACTAAGTGTTTTCAAGAGAGTGTTCTTGTCATCCATAGAGCTTAATCTTTTCTCATTTCTACTCTTGTGAGAGTNTGATGATGCATTAATCGATTATTGGTGATGCATTAATCGATTATTATGCTGCATCTTTTCTGCACAGCTTCTTTTCTTGGACCAACGGATATATTTCTTCAACTCCTATTTAAACACTCTTCCTTGGTCATTTTTCTCAAGAACAAGCACTCCTAAACTCCCATATCTTGAGGTTATAATCCTCCATTCATTTCTTCCTCAAATTGATATATTTTGAGAGAAAACTAAGTGTTTTCAAAAGAGTGTTCTTGTCATCCATAGAGCTTAATCTTTTCTCATTTCTACTCTTGTGAGAGTCATTGTTGTGAGGTTGAAGAAGATTATTCTTCTTGTTGTTCAAGACTTATGTGACTTAAGTCTTGGTTGTAAAGTCTTGTAGAGGGCATATCTACGAGCGGTTGTGTCGAGGCTTGTGGGATTCAAGTTCTCGAGTTGTAAACGGTTTGTTAAGCACCCGTAAGCTTAACGGAAGTAGTGGTAGCTTCGAGAGAGTCTCTCGGGGAACTGGACTAGCCACGAGGTGGTGAACCAGTATACATCGGTATGTTCTTTGCCTTCTCTCTTTTATTTCCGCTGCACTTACGTTTATATTATTAATCCTGCGAAAATCGGTGAACATTCTCAACAACTCTATTCACCCCCCCTCTAGAGTTGCACGCCTTGTCTAACAATTGGTATCAGAGCGGGTATCTCTGACGCTCTTTGTGACGTTTGAGAAAACGATCAAATTTTTTTTGAGAATGTTGAACGCAGGGATAGGAGAAGGGCAATCCACCGTAAGGCCGCCATTTTTTGATGGAACGAATTACTCTTATTGGAAGGAGCGGATGAGGATTTTTGTTCAATCAAACAACTTCAAAATTTGGCTTGCTATCAAGAATGGAGATAGCTTGCCGATGAAGAAGGTAGGCGATACGCTCATCCCAAAGGACGAGGATGAATATGATGAAGCCGATTTTAAGAAGGCTCAGTTGAATGCCACCGCCATCAACTTCTTGTATTGTGCGGTCAACGCCAACGATTATCAAAAGATATCTCGTTGCCAAACTGCTAACCAAATGTGGAACAAGCTCATGATCACATACGAAGGTACGCCTCAAGTTCGTGAATCAAAAATTGATTTACTAACCCATGAATATGAGTTATTTGCTATGAAAGAGAACGAACTTGTGGAGGACATGTTTGAAAGATTTTCAAACATCGTCAACGACCTTGATATGCTTGGAAAGATGCTCACCGACAAGGAGTTAGTGAGGAAAGTCCTGCGAAGTCTTACCAAGGAATGGGAGTCAAAGGTAAACTCCATTTACGAAGGCCGAGATTACAACGTCATCACATACGACGGTCTTCGAGGTAACTTTATCACTTACGAAACAAATCATCTTTCTCATACTCTTGATGTTAAGAAGAGAACGGGAATTGCTTTTAAAGCATCTTCTTCTCAAAAAGTAGAGATTGATGATTCGGATTCAAATAGTGATAGTGATAATGATTCTAGCACTTCTTGTGATTTTTTGGTTGAATGTTTTAACGAGTTTTTGAAACATGAGCTAAACAAGAGCAAAAAGAAAAACACCCCAAGGTGTCATAAGTGCGGAAAGCTTGGCCACCGAAAATTTGAGTGCCCGAAGCTTAAGAAAATGAGCAAACAAGATGAATTAGCTTATTTTTCGTGGAAGTATGATGAACCTTCCAAACACGATTGCCTCATCGCTCTTGAAGAACAAGATGGGTGGTCGGGCACGTGACGCACTTGAAAGGCGTGCTTGAAGACTACAAATTTGTAGTGGATGCTCCAAGCACTTAGCCAAAGAGATTGCATCAAAGGGGAGTAAATTCCTTTTTTAATTAAATGTTATCTTTGAGATTTATATGAATTTATTTGGGGAATATACATAGGATGTTTTGCATATAGTAAGGGGGAATTTATTGCTATATGTGTTAATTTTTGCTATATGTGTTAATTTTTTTTAAGGGGAGATAGCATACTTTAAGGGGGAAGTTTTTTTATTTCCTAGAAATGCATGATTTAGGGGGAATGTGATTTTTCTTAATTGTTTAGAATTTTTTTTCACTCCCCGGAATGCATGAGTTCTTTTGTTGCATTATTTTTGATAATGCCAAAAGGGGGAAGAGTATAGGAGTATATGCTTTTATTTGTTATTTGTTGGTAGCATATCCTCCATGTGTTTGTCATTATCAAAAAGGGGGAAATTGTTGGAATGCATGAGTTCAACCATTTCTGTGTTGTTAAGTGTTGACTCACAGGTTTTGATAATTGACCAACACAATTTATTCAAGTCAAGATCAAAGTGCTACAACGACAAACACGAAGATTTGAAGTGTCATTCCTTGAAGTATTCAAGAAGGTGCACAAGATTTTATTGGAGTCTGAGACGCGTTCGGAGCGCCTAACGGAGGACTCGGAGGAGTAGAAGATTTCCGAAGACTTTTTATTTATTTGAGTCTTAGGAATTTTTGTAAGGGTGACAAAAATATCTTCTCTCCAAAATTATTTTTATGAGTGTTAAAATAAAAATTATATTTATTTTTAGAGTCAGTTGAAAAATCTTTTAACTGTTCAAAATAGTTTTTATTGAGTCAGTTACAAAAGGTGTGCCAAACATTTATCAAATATTTATTTTGATATTATAAAATATTTTTGGTAAGCAAAAATATTTTATTCAAATTTTTCTGTGTACATCGTTTGACACACAAAATAATTTTTGGACTCACTTTTACTCCCTTATTCAAATTCATTGAATAAGAGAGGAGGAGCGCTTCCCGGATTCCTGTTGTCTCAAACAACGAGTATTCAACCAATTCTTTATCTATCGCAACTGGCTTGGGCCCTTTGTGTTTGCGCATCATTTCAAAACTAATCGATTAATATTCTCACCTTAATCGATTTACCCAGTTTTGTTTTGATTAATCGATTAATTGAGTTTTACTTTGTGTTGAGCTACTTTGACTTAATCGATTATTTTCCTCTTGTTAATCGATTAACTTACTCAGAACACTCTAATCGATTAATTGCTTTGGCCTTAATCGATGATCATTTTTGAGCAGTCTGCATTAATCGTTGTTGATGATGCATTAATCGATTATTGGTGATGCATTAATCGATTATTATGCTGCATCTTTTCTGCACAGCTTCTTTTCTTGGACCAACGGATATATTTCTTCAACTCCTATTTAAACACTCTTCCTTGGTCATTTTTCTCAAGAACAAGCACTCCTAAACTCCCATATCTTGAGGTTATAATCCTCCATTCATTTCTTCCTCAAATTGATATATTTTGAGAGAAAACTAAGTGTTTTCAAAAGAGTGTTCTTGTCATCCACAGAGCTTATTCTTTTCTTATTTCTACTCTTGTGAGAGTCATTGTTGTGAGGTTGAAGAAGATTGTTCTTCTTGTTGTTCAAGACTTATGTGACTTAAGTCTTGGTTGTAAAGTCTTGTAGAGGGCATATCTACGAGCGGTTGTGTGGAGGCTTGTGGGATTCAAGTTCTCGAGTTGTAAACGGTTTGTTAAGCACCCGTAAGCTTAACGGAAGTAGTGGTAGCTTCGAGAGAGTCTCTCGGAGAACTGGACTAGCCACGAGGTGGTGAACCAGTATACATCGGT